TTGTGGAGTCTCCTTCTCTGGAGATATTCAAGACCCACCTGGAGAAGGTCCTGTGCAGCCTGCTGTAGGTGACCCTGCTTCGTCAGGGGGGTTGGACTAGATGACCCACAGAGGTCCCTTCCAACCCCCAGTATTCCGGGTTTCTGTGATTCTGTTTCCTCCTGCGGTGTTGGTGTGATGCTGACTCAGGTTCTGGTCACTCCTGGAGCTACAGCCACTGATGTGCAACTCAAAGTGCCCCTGATGAGCGCATTTAGATTCTCATCAACGTGTGTCTTGCCCTTTCCCATCCCCAGCTCAGTCTGCTGCTTTTCTGGTCCTGAACCTGTCGTTTTGAGCAAATCTTCCTCCTTTTGTTTAGGTGGAAATGGCTGCTGCTTTCTGCTCCTGGTGCAGGCAGTGCTGTTCAAAGAACCCTGCTCCCTCCATCACTGCCCTCGCTGCAAATCCTGAGTGTTTATCGGAGAAAAGATTGATTTTTGTTTCCAGTTTTTGTGATGGTGAAACATTCTCAGAGGGATCTGGGCAGAACTGCTGCTTTAGTGTCTCCAGCGTTAATGTGCCTCAACTGGGACCTGGAAAGAGAAAACGTGAGCCAGGCAAGGCTTGCCCTGCTCTGTTAATGTCCCAGTTTTATCCCTTGGAGGCGAATTTGTGTCTTACACCTGCTGTCTGCTGGTGGATTTGGTTCTGCGATCGCTTTCCCAGCCGGTGAAAGAGAATGTTTTTGCCACTCGATGCTCTTTATAGCGAGAATCGTCGTGTTGTAGTGTGACATGACATTATCCTCAACTGTTCTCCCGTTGATGTACGAGCCTGGCTTGCAAAGCTTGTTCAGGCATCACTGGGAAGGAAGGGAGGGAGAGGCTTCTCACAGCTGTATCGGCTTTAATCCGCTGCTCCGTGATGAAGTGCAGATGCGCGTGATTAATCCAATGCTGTAAGAGATGACTAATTTGCTTGCCCGGAGAAATTGTGGATGTCCCATCACTGGAAGTGCGCAAGGCCAGGTTGGACGGGGCTTTGGACAACTTGATCTCGTGGAAGGTGTCCCTGCCCGTGGCAGGGGGGTTGGACAAGTTGATCTTTGAAGGTCCCTACTGACCCAAACCATTCTGTGATTCTATGAACTTCAGTCTTAGTTAACAGAAAACAACTTGTGCTCTGTTGAGCCTGAAGAAGGGAAGGCTGAGAGGGGACCTTAAAAATGCTTACAAATATCTTAAGGGTGAGTGTCAGGAGGATGGGGCCAGACTCTTTTCAGTGATGCCCAGTGACAGGACAAGGAGCAACGGGCACAAACTGAAGCAGAGGAAGCTCCGTCTGAACATGAGGAAGAACTTCTTCCCTCTGAGGGTGATGGAGCCCTGGAACAGGCTGCCCAGGGAGGTTGTGGAGTCTCCTTCTCTGGAGATATTCAAACCCCGCCTGGACAAGGTCCTGTGCAGTGTGGTCTGGGTGACCCTGCTTCGGCCGGGGGTTGGACTGGGTGACCCACAGAGGTCCCTTCCAACCCCTGCCATTCTGTGATTCTGTGATTCCGTGACTATTCAGTTCAGGTTCTTCCCCCCCAGCTTGTTACTCCAGATCTGAAGGGTTGATGGATGGAGGACCCATGATGAGAGCTGTGGAGGGCAGGAGCTTTGGGCAGGAGCTTCGAGCAGGGGCAAGAGTCTCCGGCTGCTGGGTGATGGGTCTTGCTCAACTGAGCTGTGATTTTGTGGAGGAGCGACCTGTTCATGCCACCGCGATTGGCTGAGAGCTCCCGCTTGTAGAATAATTTTATCCGTATTAATCTTGGAGTTCATTAAATGATGTAGTTTAGATCTTACGGCTGTTTCAGACAAATCTTGATAAAATGCCATCAGCAAATTAAAACAATTATGTTTTAAAGAAGCAATAAATCTCTTACTCAGTCTCCCTATTACCTTCGTCGTGTGTGATCAATCATCTGGACTGTCTGGAGGAAGCACATGGCAAACGCTTCTCCCATAGTTTTTATGGTTTTGTTTTCCTCCAGCGTTCCGAGCATCTTCTTGGACCTGTAGCAAGGAACGAGGCGGGAGCTGCTTTGCTTTGCTTTTCGCCAAAGCGACGGGCAGCTTCGGTGGCGGTGGGACTCGCTGTGCACGCCTGGATTCATCACCTCCTGATTTTGATCTTTCAGTCTGTGTAGCACTGAACGGTCAACTATTTATTTTTAATCTTCCTTTTCAGCTTGTAAGGTTAAAAGGCTGGTGGTGCTGCAGTCAAGTGCTGCTCTGAAAATGGTTTCTAGCTGATGCAAAGGGGAAGTTTCTACTGCGAAATCCAGGTTTTGGGGGGTCCAAAAGTGCAGGGTTTTTACACAGGCACCGATATTTCAGATTT